CAAGTTTGGTTAAACTTGGCCGAGTAGTTTCAGAAGAGAAGAATTTTGTAAAAGATTACAAAAATTTACGAAAAATTGTTAAAAATTGACTATAAAGGGCAAAAACTCCTTAAGGGGTCAATTAACCATTTTGGTCATGTTGACATATTTGTAGATCTTACTTTGCTGAACATTATTGCTGTTACAGTTTATCTCTATCTATAATAATATTCAAGATAATAACCAATAAAATGCTCCGCTGGGGCGCAGCTTGATACGACCGCAGAGGTCGAACCCTGAACAGTTGGGGCAAGTATGGACACAACATTCAAGCTTGATACAGCTCTGAATTTGGATTGTGATTAAATATTTGACACAGCATAGGTTTCTGACACAGAATGAATGTGGTCTAAGAAAATTTTAATTTACCTATATTCAAACCATATCATTATTATTTGCTTTTGTATATAAATGAGAAATAACCAATTTAAAATGAAAATTTTTAAAGAAAAATAAAATGCTCCGCTGGGCACAGCTTGATATGATCGCAGAGGTCGAACCCTGAACAGTTGGGGCAAGTATGGACACAACATTCCAGCTTGATACAGCACTGAATTTGGATTGTGATTAAATATTTGACACAGCATAGGTTTCTGACACAGAATGAATGTGGTCTAAGAACTTAAATTTTTTTAATTTACCTATTCAAACCATATCATTATTATTTGCTTTTATATATATATCAGAAATAACCAATCAAAAATGGAAAATTTTAAAGAAAAAAAAAATACCTCCCCTAAATTTTTTGAACCCACTTATGATTCATCACCCCAAACTCAATCCCAGTCTTCCCTTTGTGGTATGGTACCTTGTAGTACAATTTCAGAGAGATCCATACACTTGAACACAGGTTATTGTCTTGAAACTAGAAAAATGCTTGTTTTTAGGCCCCTTTTTGGCCCCTTATTCCTAAACGTTTTGGGCAATGACCCCCAAACTCAATTCCAGCTTTCCCTTTGTGATATGAAACCTTGTAGTTCAATTTCAGAAAGATCCATACACTTACACACAAGTTATTATCAAGAAACTAGAATCAAAGAGCTGAAAGCTCTGAGGAAAAATGACGCCACTGTCTCTAATATTGATATATTTTTTATGCAAGTCTTGATTTTCACATGTCATAATAAGTTTAACATTGCAACATGTCTAGTAAGCATATAATTTATATTCGTATATGTGTCTGTTTTTTCAGTACAAATGAATAGGTCAAGACTACCTGAATGATCTACAGTATCCAATTACTACTGGCATTTTTTTTGTATAAATAAATAGGTCAAGACTACCGGAATGATCTACAATATCCAATGACTACTGGCTGTTCTTTTGTACTAATAAAAAGGTCAAGACTATTTGAATGATCTACAATATCCAATGACTACTGGCTGTTCTTTTGTACATATAAATAAAGACTACCTGAATGATCTAAAGTATTCTAAGTAATGCGATTTTTTCTTGCAATTACATTTTTCTAAATCAAGAATATAGACTACTAGTATCCTTTTCAAACCAAATGATTATGAAGAGCCTGTTGTTAGCAAGCTCTTATACCCCACATACTCATTAAATAAGTTACCAGTGACCTAGTTATTTCTGTTACTTGAAGCAAATTATATTTCTGTATATTTAGACAATAGTATAATATTGTTTTACTAGTTTTTATTTCACCTTGAAGATTAGACAAATAGGGATACTCCTTCGATTTTTTATTTCATGTCAGTCAGGTCGCTTTATATGAAATTTGAAACCACTTCTCTGCCATATTGTTATTTTATAACAACTCTGCCCTTGACCATGTTGACCCATGTAATTGATATTCATTCTTTAACCATATATCATAGTCAGTTAGTTTTTGATTTTGCACTCCCACACCACCTTTCATGTCTTTCAGGTCAAATGTCTGTCTCCATTTAAGTTAATGACATTGAACAATCATGGTATTAAACACAATTTCAATAGTGATAATGCTGTTCTCTTGGGTCACCATATATTCAACTTGGGTAGCATTCCAGTTATTGAAATTTGTGTCAGATTAGAACAATTATCTAGATCTTTAGGAATGGATCTTATAATTTAATATGGAGCCATAGTATGGGACCCCTACACGGTAAAAAAAAAACAAGCTTGAAAGGATACAATGTCAAGCGGCAAAATCTATCACCAGAGATTACAAGTCAAAAGAGGATGGACGGGATACGTCTCTAAAATGCTTGCTGAACTGGAACTACGGCAAGATCTCCAGACAAGACAAACAAAGCGTTGAAGCCAGAAGTTAATATTTATGTAAAAAGTAGTTGAGGGGCTGATTCCCGCTATTGAACCATACTGTCATTCTATAATATCATTGCGTAAGTATTTCTGTATTGGCCTTGTTATTGGTCCATGTCTTGGGTGTATTGGTCTGAGGCGAAGCGGAAGGCCAACACTGCTGGCCGAGGACCAATAATGAGGCCAATACAGAAATACACGTTATAGTATTTTTATTAATTAACTACAGTGTTACAATATTTTTTTTATTTCATTTCACAAGAGATAAATATTTTTACCTTGAAGTGGAACTATCCAAATCTCAGTTTCTTTTTATAAGATGCAATATCTAATGATTCGGTGCCGTTTGAAGTATCTTCAGCATTTTCTCATCTGATGAATTTTTCTACCCTTTCCAGTCACTATAAAGTGTTACAACTTTAATTTAGACTAAACACATAAATAGTAATTGGAAAGGTACTGCCATTGCATGTGTAATGCAAATATATTTTTAAAAAAAATAATGTAAGAGTTGAAATTGATACAACTATCCATAAGCCAATTGACCAAAGAACGAAGATTTGCACAATTACAGAATGCATATGCCTGGTTCGGGTTTAAAAATAAACGACCGTTTAAATACAAAACATGAGAAGCGACAGTAAACAGTAAAAATCGATTTGTACCATCGACATAATGAAATTATGAGGTCGTCAAGAAATGAACTTTGTGATAATTTACTCGTTCCCCAAACCTGAAATAATCCCATCGTCTACTTTCAAAATGCTTTCTAAATGAATGGGACCGTCTTTAACCTAAAATATATGACATACTGAACGTTTCAGCTTGATTATGGTGAGTAAACCTGCGTCTTACAAACAACTGTTTACTTTCAGTTTGAGTTTATCGTGACTTACGATCTAAATACTAGAGACGTTCCGAAATCCTGTTTTGTAAACAAAGATTCATTCGCACCGCGTGGGTATAACCGTATTACTAATTTCCGATTTTTAAATCTGGATAAAGACCAGTTTCTATCCAATGAATATCAAAATGATTCCGATTTTCACTTTTTTTAATGATTGTAAAGTTGAAATGGCATGAAAGGCTGACATTATTTTAGAAAACTATTTTGTCTAGCTATTGCTGATCATTGGAGGGTAAAAATTCCAACACCATAACAAAACGGATCTATTTATCATGTATACATACCGATTGTTTACGATTGTAAGACATGTGCATAAAAGTGAAAGCTCGAATAAATATGAAAAATATAACAAAGGGATAGCTCCAAATACCATTTAATAACAAAAAACATATGGACAGGTCAAGATATCTTTTTGGTAAATAAAACAAAATATGTAAACTGGTTCCGTTCCGACTACAACACTTTGTTCGTGTGTAGCGTAATACAAGCAGATTCCAGTTAGTATGTAAAATAGTAAATATGAAACCGAGTGCGGTAGGCGGAGGCAATAATCGACTTCCGTAAGTTCTGGTCAATGGTATCGGAAACATGCCGCTGATAGCGTCATTTTCCAAAAACGCTTGTTTTTTGCTCCTTTTTTTGCCCCTAATTCCTAAAATTTTGAGGCAATTGCCCCCAAAATCAATCCCAGCATTCCCTTTGTGATATGGAATCTTGTGGTACAATGTCAGTGAGATCCATACACTAACACACAAGTTATGTCTGGAAGTTACAAAAATGCTTATTTTTGGCCCCTTTTTTGCCCCTAATTCCTTAACTGTTGGTACCATAACCCCTAAAATCAATCCCAACCTTCCTTTTGTGTGTATTGATTGGTGAATATTCATGGAGATCTATGCACTTAAACTAAAGTTAGAGTGCGAAAACGAATGTGTCTTCGAACGACGACGATGACGACAACGACGCCAACGTCATACCAATATACGACCAAAAAACTTTTAATTTTTGCGGTCGTATAAAAAAGGAAAAAAAGGGAAAAAAAATCCCCCCCCCCCAAATTTTTTGAACCCCCTTATGATTTATCACCCCAAAACTCAGTAACAACCTTCCCTTTGTGGTATGGTAACTTGCAGAACAATTTCAGAGAGATCCATACACTTGAACACAAGTTATTGTCTGGAAACTAGAATAAACAGCTGCGCCATGAGCGCATGATACGCCCGTCGTCTTGTGTGTGAATTTTTAAGCAATAAGCATAAATAGTTTTTGACATACAGCGTGACATTCGAAAACCCCTTCTTTTTTTTAACAATAAACAGCTGCGCCATGAGCGCATGATACGCCCGTCGTCTTGTGTGTGAATTTTTTATGCAATAAGCATAGTTTCTGACATACGGCGTGACATGCGATTACCCCCTTTTTTTTTTAACAAAAACTCAATATCTCTAAAATATAATTTTGAATCAAAACCAAAAAGTATACAGATCTTTAGATTAATATAACTAAGTGTGTAAAAATTTAAGCAATAATCATAAATCGTTTTTGAGATACGGCGCGACATGTGAAAACCCCCCCCCCCCCCCTTTAAAAAAAAAAAAATCAATATCTCAAAAATAAAATTTTGAATCAAAACCAAAAAGTATACAGATCTTTAGATTAATATAACTAAGAAGTTTGTAAAATTTTAAGCAATAATCATAATTCGTTTTGAGATACAGCGCGACATGTGAAAAACCCCTCCCCCTTTTTTTTTACAAAATACTCAATAATTCAAAAATAAAATTTTGAATCATCACCAAAAAGTATACAGATCTTAAGGTTAATATAACTAAGAAGTGTGTAAAGTTTAAAGCAATAATCATAAACTGTTTTTGAGATACGGCGCAACATGTGAAAAACCCCTCCCCCTTTTTTAACAAAATACTCAATATCTCTAAAATAAAATTTTGAATCATCACCAAAAAGTATACAGATCTTAAGATTAATATAACTAAGAAGTGTGTAAAGTTTTAAGCAATAATCATAAATTGTTTTTGAGATACGGCGCGACATGTGAAAAAAAACACACACCTGTTTTAGTTACTAAGTCCCGTAACTCAAAAAGTTTTAATCTTATTTTCACCAAAAAGTATACAGATTGTTTGACCATCATAAGAAACAACTATGTTAAGTTTCATGGAATTTGGATAAGTTATTCTCAAGTTACGGTGCGACATGTTTACGCCGGACAGACAGACGGACGGACGCCGGACATTTGTATACCATAATACGTCCCTTCAAAAATTTGACGGGCGTATAAAAATGCTTGTTTTTAGGCCCCTTTTTGGCCCCAAATTCCTAAACGTTTAGGGCAATTACCCCCAAACTCAAACCCAGCTTTCCTTTTGAGATATGGAACCTTGTAGTACAATTTCATAAAGATCCATTCAATTACACACAAGTTATTGTCCTGAAACTAGAAAAATGCTTGTTTTTTGCCCCTTTTTGGGCCCTAATTCCTAAACTTTTGAGGCAATTACCCCCAAAATCCATCCCAGCCTTCCCTTTGAGGTATGGTACCTTGCAGTACAATTTCAGAGAGATCCATACACTTGAACACAAGTTATTGTCTGGAAACTAGAAAAATGCTTGTTTTTAGGCCCCTTTCTTGCCCCAAATTCCTAAACGTTTAGAGCAATTACCCCCAATCTCAAACCCAGCTTTCCTTTTGAGATATGGATCCTTGTAGTACAATTTCATAAAGATCCATACACTTACACACAAGTTATTGTCCTGAAACAAGAAAAATGCTTGTTTTTTGCCCCTTTTTGGGCCATAATCCCTAAACTTTTGAGGCAATTACCCCCAAAATCAATCCAATCCTTCCCTTTGAGGTATGGTACCTTGCAGTACAATTTCAGAGAGATCCATACACTTGAACACAAGTTATTGTCTGGAAACTAGAAAAATGCTTGTTTTTAGGCCCCTTTTTGGCCCCTTATTTCTAAACGTTTTGGGCAATTACCCCCAAACTCAATTCCAGCTTTCCCTTTGTGATATGAAACCTTGTACTTCAATTTCAGAAAGATCCATACACTTACACACAAGTTATTATCAAGAAACTAGAAAAATGCTTGTTTTTTGCCCCCTAATTCCTAAAATTTTGAGGCAATTGCCCCCAAAATTTATCCCAGCATTCCCTTTGTGATATGGAATCTTGTGGTACAATGTCAGAGAGATCCATACACTAACACACAAGTTATGTCTGGAAGTTACAAAAATGCTTATTTTTGGCCCCTTTTTTGCCCCTAATTCCTTAACTGTTGGTACCATAACCCCTAAAATCAATCCCAACCTTCCTTTTGTGGTATTGAACCTTATGGTGAAATTTCATGGAGATCTATGCACTTAAACTAAAGTTAGAGTGCAAAAACGAATGTGTCTTTGGAAGACGAGGATGACGATGACGACAACAACGACGACGACAACGATGCCAACGTCATACCAATATACGACCAAAAAACTTTTAATTTTTGCGGTCGTATTAAAAGGAACAAAAGGAAAACCCCCCCCCCCCCCCCCCCCCCAAATTTTTTGAACCCCCTTATGATTTATCATCCCAAAACTCAATAACAACCTTCCCTTTGTGGTATGGTACCTTGCAGTACAATTTCAGAGAGTTCCATACAATTTGAACACAAGTAATTGTCTGGAAACTAGAAAAATGCTTGTTTTTAGGCCCCTTTTTGGCCCCTTATTTCAAAACATTTTGGGCAATAACCCCCAATCTCAATTCCAGCTTTCCCTTTGTGATATGGAACCTTGTAGTTCAATTTCAGAAAGATCCATACACTTACACACAAGTTATTATCAAGAAACTAGAAAAATGCTTGTTTTTTGCCCCTTTTTTGGCCCCTTATTCCTAAAATTTTGAGGCAATTACCCCAAAATCAATCCCAGCATTCCCTTGTGATATGGAATCTTGTGGTACAATGTCAGAGAGATCCATACACTAACACACAAGTTATGTCTGGAAGTTACAAAAATTCTTATTTTTGGCCCCTTTTTTGCCCCTAATTCCTTAACTGTTGGTACCATAACCCCTAAAATCAATCCCAACCTTCCTTTTGTGGTATTGAACCTTATGGTGAAATTTCATGGAGATCTATGCACTTAAACTAAAGTTAGAGTGCAAAAACGAATGTGTCTTTGGAAGACGACGATGACGATGACGACAACAACGACGACGACAACGACGCCAACGTCATACCAATATACGACCAAAAAACTTTTAATTTTTGCGGTCGTATTAAAAGGAACAAAAGGAAAAAAAAATCCCCCCCCCCAAATTATTTGAACCCCCTTATGATTTATCATCCCAAAACTCAATAACAACCTTCCCTTTGTGGTATGGTACCTTGCAGTACAATTTCAGAGAGTTCTATACACTTGAACACAAGTAATTGTCTGGAAACTAGAAAAATGCTTGTTTTTAGGCCCCTTTTTGGCCCCTTATTTCAAAACATTTTGGGCAATAACCCCCAATCTCAATTCCAGCTTTCCCTTTGTGATATGGAACCTTGTAGTTCAATTTCAGAAAGATCCATAAACTTACACACAAGTTATTATCAAGAAACTAGAAAAATGCTTGTTTTTTGCCCCTTTTTTGGCCCCTTATTCCTAAAATTTTGAGGCAATTACCCCAAAATCAATCCCAGCATTCCCTTGTGATATGGAATCTTGTGGTACAATGTCAGAGAGATCCATACACTAACACACAAGTTATGTCTGGAAGTTACATAAATGCTTATTTTTGGCCCCTTTTTTGCCCCTAATTCCTTAACTGTTGGTACCATAACCCCTAAAATCAATCCCAACCTTTCTTTTGTGGTATTGAACCTTATGGTGAAATTTCATGGAGATCTATGCACTTAAACTAAAGTTAGAGTGCAAAAATGAATGTGTTTTCGGAAGACGACGATCGACGCCAACGACGACGCCAACGTCATACCAATATACGACCAAAATTTTTTTAGTTTTGCGGTCGTATAAAAAAGGAAAAAAAAAGGGGAAAAAAATACCCCCCCCAAATTTTTTGAACCCCCTTATGATTTATCACCCCAAAACTCAATAACAACCTTCCCTTTGAGGTATGGTACCTTGCAGTACAATTTCAGAGAGATCCATACACTTGAACACAAGTTATTGTCTGGAAACTAGAAAAATGCTTGTTTTTAGGCCCCTTTTTGGCCCCAAATTCCTAACCGTTTAGGGCAATTACCCCCAAACTCAAACCCAGCTTTCCTTTTGAGATATGGAACCTTGTAGTACAAGTTCATAAAGATCCATACACTTACACACACGTTATTGTCCTGAAACTAGAAAAAAGCTTGTTTTTTGCCCCTTTTTGGGCCCTAATTCCTAAACTTTTGAGGCAATTACCCCTAAAATCAATCACAGCCTTCCCTTTGAGGTATAGTACTTTGTAGTACAATTTCAGAGAGGGGAGATCCATACACTTGAAGACAAGTAATTGTCTGGAAACTAGAAAAATGCTTGTTTTTAGGCCCCTTTTTGGCCCCTTATTCCAAAACGTTTTGGGCAATAACCCCCAAACTCAATTCCAGCTTTCCCTTTGTGATATGGAACCTTGTACTTCAATTTCAGAAAGATCCATACACTTACACACAAGTTATTATCAAGAAACTAGAAAAATGCTTGTTTTTTGCCCCTTTTTTGGCCCCTAATTCCTAAAATTTTGAGGCAATTGCCCCCAAAATTTATCCCAGTATCCCTTTGTGATATGGAATCTTGTGGTACAATGTCAGAGAGATCCATACACTAACACACAAGTTATGTCTGGAAGTTACAAAAATACTTATTTTTGGCCCCTTTTTTGCCCCTAATTCCTTAACTGTTGGTACCATAACCCCTAAAATCAATCCCAACCTTCCTTTTGTGGTATTGAACCTTATGGTGAAATTTCATGGAGATCCATGCACTTAAACTAAAGTTAGAGTGCGAAAACGAATGTGTCTTCGGACGACGACGATGACAATGACGACAACAACGACGACGACAACGACGCCAACTTCATACCAATATACGACCAAAAAACTTTTAATTTTTGCGGTCGTATAAAAAGGAACAAAAGGAAAAAAAATCCCCCCCCCCAAATTATTTGAACCCCCTTATGATTTATCACCCCAAAACTCAATAACAACCTTCCCTTTGTGGTATGGTACCTTGCAGTACAATTTCAGAGAGATCCATACACTTGAACACAAGTTATTGTCTGGAAACTAGAAAAATGCTTGTTTTTAGGCCCCTTTTTGGCCCCAAATTCCTAAACGTTTAGGGCAATTACCCCCAAACTCAAACCCAGCTTTCCTTTTGAGATATGGAACCTTGTAGTACAATTTCATAAAGATCCATACACTTACACACAAGTTATTGTCCTGAAACTAGAAAAATGATTGTTTTTTGCCCCTTTTTGGGCCCTAATTCCTAAACTTTTGAGGCAATTACCCCCAAAATCAATCACAGCCTTCCCTTTGAGGTATGGTACTTTGTAGTACAATTTCAGAGAGATCCATACACTTGAACACAAGTAATTGTCTGGAAACTAGAAAAATGTTTTTTTTTAAGGCCCCTTTTTGGCCCCTTATTCCAAAACGTTTTGGGCAATAACCCCCAAACTCAATTCCAGCTTTCCCTTTGTGATATGGAACCTTGTAGTTCAATTTCAGAAAGATCCATACACTTACACACAAGTTATTATCAAGAAACTAGAAAAATGCTTGTTTTTTGCCCCTTTTTTGGCCCCTTATTCCTAAAATTTTGAGGCAATTACCCCAAAATCAATCCCAGCATTCCCTTTGTGATATGGAATCTTGTGGTACAATGTCAGAGAGATCCATACACTAACACACAAGTAATGTCTGGAAGTTACAAAAATGCTTATTTTTTGCCCCTTTTTTGCCCCTAATTCCTTAACTGTTGGTACCATAACCCCTAAAATCAATCCCAACCTTTCTTTTGTGGTATTGAACCTTATGGTGAAATTTCATGGAGATCTATGCACTTAAACTAAAGTTAGAGTGCGAAAACGAATGTATCTTGGGACGACGACGACGATGACGACAACGACGACGCCAACGTCATACCAATATACGACCAAAAATTTTTTAATTTTTGCGGTCGTATAAAAAAGGAAAAAAAAGGAAAACCCCCCTCCCAAATTTTTTGAACCCCCTTTTGATTTATCACCCCAAAACTCAATAACAACCTTCCCTTTGTGGTATGGTACCTTGCAGTACAATTTCAGAGAGATCCATACACTTGAACACAAGTTATTGTCTGGAAACTAGAAAAATGCTTGTTTTTTGCCCCTTTTTGGCCCCAAATTCCTAAACATTTAGGGCAATTACCCCCAAACTCAAACAATTCCTAATTTAAGGGCAATAACTCCTATAAAGAGTAACAGTCTACTAATTATATCGGTACAGTTTGACTTGTTAGTAAATCTTGTCTTGCTTATTATTTTTGATTATTTTAGTTCCATCTATCTATTATAATTTTTATCATACATGTCATATAAGGCAAAAAACAAAAAAAATGGTAAAAATCGTCATTAAAGGGCAATAACTCCAATTAGGAGTCGTAGGATAATTTCCTTCATTTGTTTTACTTGTAGATCTTGTCTTGCTGATCATTTTTGTATATTAAAGTTTCTTTCTATCTATTATGAATTTTGAGATATAAGACAAAAACGCAAAAAAAAATTGTACAAATTATCATCAAAGGGCAATAACTCTAATAAGGAGTCAATTGACAATTTCAACCATAAAAAAGACTTATTTGTAGAACTTATCCTTCTTATCATTTTTGCAATTCAAAGTTTCTCTCTATCTATCATAGTTTTCAAAATAGGCAAAAATTAAAAAAAAATGGTAAAATTTGTCATTAAAGGGCAATAACTCCTACAGGAAATCTTTAGAGTAAAGTACATGTAAAATGAAAATATTGCTTAGAATGCAAAACCTGCTGACTATTTTATTTATAGATCTGTCAATTAAATTATGTTTCCCCTATTCTTGTTTTTTTCTGCACTTTATGACAATTCTTCATTATACAATGTGTCTGTGTTAGATCAGTCATTACTGTACCTATTAATTGGCTGAGTAACTCCCATTCCTCAGAACTGAGTGTGGCCTTCAGTTTATCTTTATTATCACAGATAGCTTGGACAAAACCACCTTTGTATTCCCAGTCTATGAAGTCTTCAATAGCCCTGGGTACAGTATAGAGGATATTAAATGCTGCCTGTAATCGGTTGTCTTCCTCTGTTAGTATTCTGTAAATATAGAATATCTGTAGTAACTTGTTATGTAAAGGAGGAGGTGTACTGAGATGTAAATATAGAATATCTGTAGTAACGTGTTATGTAAAGGAGGAGGTGTACTGAGATGTAAATATAGAACATCTGTAGTAACGTGTTATGTAAAGTAGGAGGTGTGCTGAGATGTAAATATAGAACATCTGTAGTAACGTGTTATGTAAAGTAGGAGGTGTACTGAGATGTAAATATAGAACATCTGTAGTAACTTGTTATGTAAAGGAGGAGGTGTGCTGAGATGTAAATATAGAACATCTGTAGTAACGTGTTATGTAAAGGAGGAGGTGTACTGAGATGTAAATATAGAACATCTGTAGTAACGTGTTATGTAAAGGAGGAGGTGTGCTGAGAAACTTGTTGAAGTGCAATAAAATAATTCTGAGAAATTCCCCAATATTAATGATATAAATTTAGACTGTGGATTGATTTGTTTTCTATTGTTTCAAATTATGTGGTGTTTTGAGAACTTAGAAACTGTCTTTAATTTTCCACCAAAAATTATGAAATAACTGGTATAGTAAAACAACTTACGGTTGAGCTTCAATCGACAGAATATGTGTACTTCTCCCTTCAAATTCTGCAATAAAAATAATTTTAATAAAAAATAATCATTCTTATTATTTAGTTCTACGAAGTTACTTATTACTTTGTAACAACTCAAGAATCAAGCCAATATATATTGAAATTCCTTTCTTGATCGATAAATCATTTGCCAAAATATTAATATTAAATCAAAAAGCTTGACAGCCATAAATAGTATAAAAATATTAATTCCAAGGTCTGATGGAAAATATAGCCATTGTTTCCATTGATAATAGTATTCTTTCCAAAAAAATAATTAAACTGCAAATGTATTTGACTCATTCTTAATATAGTTTATCAACAACAAAAAATAATTTTAATAAACTGTTGACACAGAGATATGTCTTGTACGGAAACGAAAACTT